GTTTTCATTAAAAAACGGCCTCGAGCTCAATAAAAATTATTGAATATATATAATAATAAAAACTATAAAGTTAATAAAGGACACAGTCAGTCTCATTTGTGACAGGACCACGTAAGTAGGCAGTCGATAGAAGTGAGAATGGTAACTGCTGGTGGTTAGTTTTTAAAAAAAGATAGCCCAGTAAAATGAGACTTTAAACGAAGTCTTTAAAAGAAACTTTAAAAGAAGTCTTGCCTCTAAATTTCATATGGGAACATTCCGCTACCTTGGATTTTATGTTTATGGGGTTTTTTGCGATTTGCAAGATTATTATGCATTTTTCGTAAAAAATAGTTCAATACAAATTTGCATAGAATTTGATTTCCCACATTTTTTAAGTATGAGGTTAAAAAAAAAACAATTTTATTGTAAATAATTAGCAAGAACTGCAAAAAAGTTACATTTTCACGGTATTCGCCATATTTCAACAATTTCTGTTAAAAATACGTAGCATAACAGAAATTGTTGAAAAATGGCGAAAACCGTGACAATGTGTATTTTTTTCGAAGTTTGTGCTAAGTATTTACAATAAACAATGATTTTTAACCTTATACTTAGAAAATTTTGGAAAATAAATTCCCTACAAATTTAAATAATCTTGCAAATCCCAAAAATCCAAAAACAAACATAAAATCAAGATGGCCTAATGTTCCCAGTGAGATTTAGTGGCAAGACTGTGGATCCATGATCTACGTATCAAATAGAAGTAAACTGCATTATAAGTTCGGTACTACAATTTTTTTTTAGAAAAACTATAATTTTACTGTGCTAACCTCTTGTAAAAATTAACTACCAGCAGTTACCATTCTCACTTCTATCGACTGCTGACACACCCCATACCCAATGCCATTCATAAATAATAAAAAGAATAAAGGCCGTAGAATGCTACCTTGTGGGACCCCCGATGGTGCCACAAAAGGTTGGGAAAAACTTAAACAAATAGCTGACTTATGAGTGTAAGGGTACAAAAAGCAGTTTTTGAAAATACTTAAATAACTAAGTTTTTAGGTCCTGCTTTCTTTCCAAGCGTGGTATTTTTTTCGACTAAAATCATTCACAGTCATAAAACTTTCACGATTTTTTCCGTTACGCGCCGAGAAACACTGGTTAGCAGTTGAATGTATCGTTCAGTTCCTTGTATGTGGCATAGCACTTGTGGGTCAGGAAGTGGTGGGTCTTCAAATTCTAAACATTCCTTCAAATGGTTATACGGGATGTTTCTAGTAATTGGCGGTTCTGTTAAAATATTGTCATCATCCAAATCTACCAAATAGCTTACATACATATGTACTATTTTTCGCTTGCTTGCATACGAATGTATCCAACTGAGCGCGGGCGG